TCTTTCCTGTTTTTCTGGAATGTTTTCTTTGTCAGTTCTACTTGTCTTCCATTTCAGATAGATCCCACTTGACATACATAATAGGCTCCTGCAATGTTGTGTGTAAACAAATCATATGCGAAGGCCGGGCGCTCTGGAAGGCAGAGGCAGGTGGATCACTTAAGGTCAGGAGTTCGAAACCAGCCTGAGCAAGAGCGAGGCCTCGTCTCTACTAAAAATAAAATTAATTGGCCAACTAAAAATATATAGAAAAAATTAGCTGGGCATGGTGGCACGTGCCTGTAGTCCCAGCTACTCAGGAGGCTGAGGCAGAAGGATTGCTTGAGCCCAGGAGTTTGAGGTTGCTGTGAGCTAGGCTGATGCCACGGCACTCTAGTCCGGGCAACAGAGCCAGACTCTGTCTAAAAAAAAAAGCAAAAACAAATGATCCCATCCCAACATTTGCACTGTGAGCTGTCTTATAAATTGAACAAGCATCTCTTCAACATAGTAAGAAAACAGAGAAAAACAAAAAAGAAACGAGACATGGATGGAGTCTTGAAGAAGGAAGGCATTTTCAAATCAACTGACATTATTTGTTTCATGACCTCTTTTCTTTGTTTGATTAGCTCCCACACGTCTACAACTTTCATGGCACCTGTTTAATAAAGTTTAAAAAATCTAAATCTGACCTTCTCTATCTTTACACTGGGCCTCATCTTAGAACTATGTATAAAATAAGCTACCTTCTCCAGGGAAGGATGATGTGCTGGAGAGGGTATGGCATCCAGGACGAGAGGACCTGGGCACCATCCTTGGCTCCTCCAGTTTTACCTCTGACACCATGGCAAGGGACTTCACATTTCAAAGCTTCTTTTCCTTGTTTTAAAAATGGCAATCAACATTTATTGGGAAAATTAAATCTCTTTCACTAACTTTTTTTCCTTAGTTTATTGGAAAGATCTCTCCTTTGACATCATCAATCTTGAAGTCTCCCTTTGGAGACAGTGGCACGGAGGTAGAGGGTTTACCTTTGTGTATTGGGTATTGTGAAATCCTGGCAAGTTTTGCTTTACCTTATAAAGTCAACCCCTGAGTCTTTTCACAAAGTGCCAAAAGGCACTAAAAATATTAAAACACATTACACTTATGGCCGGGTGCGGTGGCTCATGCCTGTAATCCTAGCACTTTGGGAGGCCGAGGCGGGCGGATTGCTCGAGGTCAGGAGTTCAAAACCAGCCTGAGCAAGAGCGAAATCCCGTCTCTACTATAAGTAGAAATAAATTAATTGGCCAACTAATATATATAGAAAAAATTAGCCAGGCATGGTGGTGCATGCTTGTAGTTCCAGCTACTCGGGAGGCTGAGGCAGCAGGATTGCTTGAGCCCAGGAGTTTGAGGTTGCTGTGAGCTAGGCTGACGCCACGGCACTCACTCTAGCCTGGGCAACAAAGCGAGACTCTGTCTCAAAAAAAAAAAAAAAAAAGAAAGAAAGAAAGAACACATTACACTTACATTGTTTTGAGTTTTCTAGGAATTGCACAATTATTTTAAGAAAATTGGAGGCACATTCGGGAGGGAAGTAAAATACTAAGACTAATTATCACCATCCCGCAATGTTTCTCATATAAATTGAGAATTCTACTGAAGTCTCTATACTAACAAGCCCACATCTCAGTATCTCTGCCTGATATTTTTGCTTAAATGTGTTTCTTTTCCTATATATCATTGCAAAATAAATGTTAATTAAGATTCTAATCTTAAGCATCCTATATATGTGTTTACTTAGCAATTTATCCCAATGCAAAGCATATAATTTAGTTGTTACTATTTGGTTAACTATATAAAGCAACTGCTAGCATCTCTATTCTATGGGTGGAAAAATCTGCCAGTTAACCATAACACAGAAAAACCAGAAGTAAAGCCAGAATTGGATTAGAATTACATTCTGTGCTTCCATTCTCAGTCCATGATCACCTGAGAAATAAATATCCACTCTTCTTTTTTTTTGAGACAGAGTCTCACTCTGTTGCCCGGGCTAGAGTGCCAGTGCTGTGGCATGAGCCTAGCTCCCAGCAACCTCAAACTCCTGGGCTCAAGCAATCCTTCTACCTCAGACTCCCGAGTAGCTGGGACTACAGGCATGGGCCACCATGCCTGGCTAATTTTTTTTTCTATATATTTTTAGTTGGCTAATTAATTTCTTTCTATTTTTTTAGTAGAGATGGGGTCTCGCTCTCGCTCAGGCTGGTTTTGAACTCCTGACCTTAAGCGATCCACCTGCCTTGGCCTCCCAGAGTGCTAGGATTACAGGCGTGAACCACCATGCCCGGTCTAAATATCCACTCTTGGCTGGTCCAAGTGCAGTGGTGTTTACAATTAATTGATCACAACCAGTTACAGCTTCCTTTGTTCCTGCTCCACTCTCACTGCTTCACTTGACCAGCCTTAAAAAAATAAAAATAAAAATCTACTCTTGATTCTCTGCTAGTCTAACTGGCTGCCCTGGCTCCACATCTATTTAAATTATGCAGGAAAAAGATTATCTTCCTCATTTATTCTTAGTCTGCCTCAGTGCTCCAATGTTGACACCACAAAGTGACTAACTCAAAGATGAATTGAGCCATGTTTTCATCACCTCAATCCAAGCTTCTAGAATAGCCTCTTGAGCAACTAGAGTAGTAACGAAATGAGCGGTGGACCTGGGTCAGAACACCCAAGTCTCTGCTCTGACAATTCTGGTTATGTGGCCTGTGGCAAATCGATTAATCACTCAGCCTGAGTCTTCTCATCTGTAAACTGAGAATAAAACAGCACCCACCTCACAGGATTATTGTAAGGGTTAAATGAAAAGATATTAGCACAGTGCCTGGTATATAGCAAGAGCTCAATCAATATCATCTGCTCTTATGATGATAAGACAAAAGAAAGTGTCATTTCTTTTCAAGGACATTGTTAGAATTAAGTTAGACAGCCTTACTTTGGACCTCTCTCTTTGTCCATTCATCTGGTTCATCAGTGAAAGATTAATTTGATTAAAACTAGACTTCATATCTCCTAACTTCATGCGAACTATTGTTTATAACATACCAAATGTTCTTATAATTATCTCCCCAGTTTTGACTTCTTGAGGACATGAACTGGATCTTACATTTCTTTTATTTGCTACAGTGTCCAGCAAATGCATTGAACACAATATATATTCAATACTTCTTTGTATTTGAACAAAAAAATTGTTACCACTAGAAAAGAGCATCAGAAACTTCCAAGAACAAAGGAAATTATATAAGACTTTTTTGGGGATCTCGTTTTCTTTTCAGGATAGTCTGCACAAATTTATATGTAGAAGTTGAGAACAGTGCTGTGAGTGTAATCACAGAGATGACAAATAATTTGGTAGAGAACAAAGCAGGCGTAGTAACACAAAAATAAGTCCACAAATAAGAAATGATGCTCAACAGCTACTGTTGAGCATCAACAGTACTGTTGAATCCTACTAGAGGATTCTTCTTCCTTAAAAATTATACATATGCTCCAGAAATTGTTTTTCACACTAAAACTCCTTCTAATACAGGAAAGATTCAGTTTGCCAAAGTACAGAAATTTACCACCCTATCTAACCATCATGACATCCTAGAAACTCGGCACATGATAGAGAGCTGCTGAAAACTCTTTCTAGAGCCTGTCGTGCCTAAGAAAGGAATAGGAATGTGTAGAAGATTTCACATTAAAACAGGGGAGGAAAGTGTCGGCTCTTAGCCACTAAGGGCCTTTCAGTTATATGTTGCACAGAGAAATAGGGCATTCCTTGCTAATGGGGAATGAGAATCTAATGCTTATTTGCTCACGTGGAGATGGAGATAACGTTATAAGCCAGAGGTGCTTATAACAGGGATACAGAGTTTCCAGCCAGAAACCTGTAATTCGCTGTGTGAAATGTGCAAGTTTCCACATCTGTAACATGGGAATGATCATACGCACCCCCACTGGACTTTTAAAGAAGTCGATAACAATATATACCCAAAGAACCAGGCAGTCAGTGCTCAACAAAGATATTCATCTACACAGGACACACAGGCAGCAGATTATAATTATCTGGAGTTGAAAAAGTGGAAAAAAAAAAAAGACTAATTTTGCCCTGGTCTTCAGACATACCAGGGAAAGTCTTTTTGCATGCTTTCCGGTTATTATTTGTAAGATCTAGATCTAACCGTACAAATACATAATCCCTTGCAATGTTTATATTTAGTGGCCCCCCCAAAAGCGAGAAGGGCCTCGCATTTCACAGACAGAACACTGAGGCTGGCCAGAGCATCCTGCTAGTAATTGACCCGGCAGGGACTCAGGGTCTGCGCACAGAGGCCGTGGGAAAGCGCAGCCAAGAGAGGGACACTTCACCCTCATCCACGCCTATGGAGAGCCCCCAGTAACTAACAGAGATCCATTTGCAAGCAGTGAGTCACGCCCATGGGTCTGGAACAAGGGCAGACCCTGAGGGGTGCCCTCCGCGCCTTTCCAGACGCCATCCCCTCCCTTCCTTGCGCCCCACGCCAGGGAGCACCTTGGAGGCTCAGTGTGAGCGCCCCCTCGCCTCCGCCTAGCCAACCCCCAGCCAGCACCTCCAAGTGAACATCGGTGCCCAGAGGGCTAGGACCACGATGAAGACAGGCCGCCACCGAAGCCCCCGCCCCACCCGCAGGAGAAGCGAGGCTCGGAAGCCCCGGCATTGAGACACCCAGCTGGGTCTGTATCCCGGGCCCGCCCCGCCCCACCTCACCCGCTGGTCACTCACCGCGCGTCGCCCTCCCGCGGGTCCGTCCCGGGCCTGCGCGGACGGACCAGCCCCGGTGCTCTGAGCCGCACGTGTCGCGCGCTCCGCGAGCGCTCCAGGCGGCCCGGGCGCGGGGTCCGCCCTCCCGCCGCCGCGCCCGCCGCGCCCGGGGTGGGCGCTCCAGAGCCGGCGCGCGCCGAGGGGGCGGCCCGCGGGGGCCGGGCGGAGGGAAACCGGCGTCAGGGTCCAGCCGCCGCCGCACGCTCAGCCCGGCCCGCGCCCGTGGTTTCCACCCTCCACGCGGCGGCCGAAGGGGGCCCGGGTCGGAGTCGGCCACCTGTGGGCTGTGCCGTGTCGCCGCCAGCAAGGTAATTACCTCTCCACACCTCAGTCTCCCCTCTCGTCACATGTGGGTGCTAAAGGCTCTCTTAGGAGACTGAGCACGGACCGGCTGAGATGGTGAAGCGAATTGTGCCCCAGGGTACGAGAAGCGCGACACAGTCACGTTCCCGGCTGTCACCGCCACGGAAAAGTGGCACTCTGTTGACACCCCTCAGAGAACTTTCCTCGGCGGTCGGGACCGCCCAGCGTTCACCACACGGCAGCGCCGCGGTCCCCGCGGTGGGCCTGCGAACGGCAGCCCCCTGCAGTGCGGGAAGAGCGCGGCAGAACTTTCTTCTGTCTTTGCCGCCTCAAGAATAAGAAAGAAATGAGCCTTTAATAGATGGCTGGACACCGACCGGCCCTAGGAAACCTGCCTGCCCTGCAGAGGGGAGGGCGCTGGTCCTTTGCTCGCGACAATATTTCAGTGAATCTGGGAGTTCGTCAATTATAAGGCAAACCGTTATTTAAGTACCAGGGAGAAATGGAAAGAACTGCCACATAAACGATGACACAGTGTCTTCTCGTCACTTAGAATCTTTTTGATTAAATTTTATTTATTGAAATATCCCTTTTAGATGTATTTAGACGTATATTTTATTATCTCTGTGCGTACAGAAAAGGGAAAATATAAGCAAATTCTTTGCATTCAGAGTCCAACACTCCTGATTATTTTTTTGTTTCTCTCAGTATCAGTCTCACTGACATAAGAGTGTTGATAAAGCAGCATTTCTTAAAAGAGTAAAGAGTGCTCCTCTGCTGTCTCTGGAATATTCTTCAAGCCCACTGAGCCCAATCCAGGTTTTCTGAGGCCAGCAGACAACTGCATACCATACTGCTGGGCAATACCTTAAGACCTCTGTCAATTCTGGAGATATTGAATATGAAAAATGTACATCTTAGAATTGACAACATACAGTAGATTGCTTTTTTGAGACTGTGACATGTGGTAGTTTACATGCTTTAGTAATTTTGGTGAATAACCTGATGTCTTTTGAATTATAGAATCTTAACATGACTTTGTAATGAGATGGTACATAATTGTGAAAATCATTTGTAACACAATTAAAAGAGTTGACAATTGAGTTGACAAAAGAGTAGACAATTAAAAGAGTTGTCTAAGTTAAATGTTCCTTTTCTTTTTTCTACAAAAAACCCAAATATTTTAAATGTGCTCATCTTTTCTGTAATGATACATGGCTGTCAGTAATATGTTGCCCAGTAGATTTTTCTGAAGGAAAGAAGAAAAACCACAGAATTGTTTTTTCTCCCTTCAAGGTGATTTTAACACCAAGTGAGAAAGTGCTATGAAGAGAACATTTAAAAACAAATATTTCAAAATGTTGCCAAATGCATTTTTTAATTGCTGAGACTATGTAAGGCTATCACCTACAAAAAATGCTTTAAAAAAACTTGGAAACACTTTGCAATCTTGTTTCAATCTTTTAATTGAGCAATTCAGTGGATTTTGAATCCATTTGTTTAAAAAACTATGAAAATTCAGCAGCTTCTGATTAGTTTGAAAGGAAAACTGATTGATACAGGAGATAATAAGAAAGATTATAGTAGTCATATGTGAGTAAAAGTTTGCATAATTCATGGATTAGGTTATTTTTCAATGATATTTAGTGAGAAGAATGGCTTCTATTTTGTTAACTAAATAATTCCAAAAAGTATTTTGCTCTTTATCTCATTTTAAGATTTAATTTATATATGTATTTTTTGTGTATATATGTGTGTGTATATATATATATAATTTATAAGTAAGTGAAAAAACAACCAAACATATATTGGGGTTGTATTCTCAAAAATCTTTTTTTTCTGAAGGAGTGCATACAATCTAAGATGTTGCCAGACCACTGCTATATTAACTTCTAACTGCAGCATCTTACAACATTTCTAAGTCAGACAGGAGACAGTGTTCCAAATGCATTTGAGGCATTTTCTTTGGGAAAACAGATGAGAGGAATTGACGAAAGAACTTGAATCTGGTTAAGCAAGCACAACAAATTATGAGACTACAGTAAGGTGCAGGTAACAACAATAACCTTCTTTATTCTCTCCTTTTCTCCAGATGCAAAAAAATCAGAAGACGAACACTCTTACATAAATATTATTAGAGAAATCATCATGCTCTAAATATATCAATGTGTCATTCAATTTAGGGTTACTATCAAGTGAAGACTTGTTCTCATAGTTGTTGATAACAGTGGTTCTCATCCTGCATGCTCCCTGGACTGTAAGCTCCATGTGCACAAGGGTCCCTTCTCCCTAGCACTTGGTGCAGTGAGTGGCTCAGGGCAGGTAATACATATTTATTGAGTTGAATTGACTTGTTCTGGAGAAATATCATTGTCTTTGGCCAACCAAGGCTATAGGTGTTGATGATTTCAACAGAGTTAAAAAATAGTTGGAAAATTATGTATAGTTTTTCTTAGCAAGTCAGTGACCCTTCCATGTGGGAGCTAACCGTCTGTGGAGACTTTTCTATTTCCTTCATTCTTTTCTCTTCCTTCTCCTCCTTCTTTTAATATCTGGGGAGTTTCACTAATAGAGGCATGGTTGTTGTCAGTGGTTGCCTGTCTAGTTAGAGAAAAAGAAAAATCTTGCTTCTATGCTTTCTGAAAAATAAGTCCTAGACAGTGGAGAATACCCAGTGAATCAAGAGCTTAACTAAAATGTCAATCTCTGATAGTTAGGATGATCATTTTTAAGTCTATGAGTGTGATATGGCCTTCTGTGTAGCTTTTAGAAGAATGTACTTGCAAATCAAAAGTTCAATTAAACGAATAACCACAGTGACAGTGACAAAGTCTTTTCTAGGAAATACTAGTTCAGTTTCCATTTCTGGTACATTTCTATTCCTTTAATTGTCTCTTTTGGTTCATTGTTGATACAAAACATCCTGAAAATTCTTAATCATACTATTCTATGAATAACTGAAAAGTGCTGTGTCTAAAGTGTCACTTGTCAGGACAAAAATAGAGAAGTGGTTGCCAACTTAGTGACTTAGGGCACCAGATGAATGCTGGCACCAGTTAAGCTTGGTAAGGTTTTTAACATCATTTTAACCTTTTACTTATAATGAGGAAACTCAACATGGAAGATTAATTGTTCACCCTTGCTGCCTCACTTGGTAAAATTCCATTTCTAAAAGCTTTCACTCAGTTATTAGTTGTACTCATCTCTCCAAAGTGTTAAATTTGTAGGATACCATTATAACTCCTAAATATACTTTTACTGTCAGTTGTTGAAAAGGTTTATATTAAATGGTGCAATGCCAGATTCTTAAATTATGAGCGATGCCCATAATTCTTAAAATGCAGAGCTGTAACTTCCCCACAACTGACATTCAACAAGCACAGACATTGTTTATGAACAAACCACATGGAAAATGCCACGTCTTGGAGAGGAACAATGTATTTCCAAGAGGTTTTTAGCTTGCCAGGGGCCTTGTTAGATGAAAACAGAGGTTAAAGAGCAAAGTGAGACATGAGGCAAATTTAAAACACCGATGGCTGCAGGGTCTTCCACAAGATAAACTTAATTCACAAACTGTTCATGTTACTCTCAGCTGCTAAATCTAAACCTATGAGTCACAGGATTCACAGATCCGGTACAAAAACCTTTGTAAGCTCTTATAAAGAGGAGAGTGATTCACATAAAAGGCAAATTTCTCATCAAAATTACTACATAAAACCACATATGTTCCTCATTTTTTGGTTGTTTGGGTTTTTTTGTTTGTTTGTTTGTTCTAGAGTACCTCAACAAAAGCCTAACAAATAGTACTCTGGAATGTAGATGTTTGGTGATCATTACCATTCTTTTCTGCACTCCACTCTTCTGGCTCCAGATATCCCTTTGCTCTATGTTTCTCATACTCTCTGATTTCCCCAGTGACACAACCTGAAGGTCTGTCCAGTCACTGCGTCCAGCTCAGACCCAATTTTCTATTGGCTGTGATTCCTCTGGATCCATGGCCTGTAAGCTAAAAGTGTGGATTCCCTGCACTCCATCCCCCTCCTAGGATGCAAAATGGGACAGGGACAGTGAATGCTCTGCTTTAGAAAGGAGCAAAATGTGACACCCAGGAGTTGCTGTCAGAAGCACTATTGACTGTGGGAGGGATGTGTTTAATATTTAGGAGTTTTTGATTTTGGCCTATAGGACCTCTGCTAAAACTGAGACAGGAAGAATCTCAAGTAAGTATACTTTTCTACAGAGTATTATCAAATTTTAATAATTTCTCTTTTCCTCTTTAATCTCTCCTCCCAAAGTATAACAGTTTTAGGAGAATCTTTTCACATTTTTCTCATGCTTTTATAGATGTATAAAAGCATTTTAGGTTTTTTGCTATATTTAAACAATATAGAAAATATAAATATTCTGTATTTAAACAAATTGAGCTATTATCTCTACCTAGGTATCTTTTGTTTTCCCTTATCACATAGCATAATCTTCATTCCATAAAACAGATGATAGATCAAGCTCCTTTTTTCTGACAGCTGGAAGTATGCCATACTGTATATGTACTAAGATTTAGTCAACCATTCTCATATTTATAGGTCTTCAGGGTTTTTCACCATTTCCCCCCACCCAAACAAGCAATGCAACATACAACCCAAAATAAAAATATTCTCACCTGTATACCTGTACACATATATTGTGTTTTTATGTGTGTGTAAAAGAATCCCACATGAGGCTTGATGAATCAAAGGATATGAACTTCTTGATTTTACTGGATTATGCCACATTATCGTCCCAATTGTAGTAATTCATATTCCCACTAGAATGCACATTATTGCTAATAGTGAATGTTGTCCATCTTCTGTAATTTTTATCAAACAGGTGAAAATCTCATTGCTTTACACTGCATTTCTTTGATCATCTTTTCATATGTCTGATAGTTTACAAATATGTACTCCTATATTCACTTATTTCAGCCTACCTTCAAATAGTCTTATACTAGTTCATTTATAATGCAAGAATTTTAAAGAGTAAAGTATCTGTGTATTTTTATACTATTTCATTGTACATTTTATTTCCATATGTAAGTCCACAATACATTGTTACTACTTTTGCTTTCACCATTTATCTTTTAAAGAAATTTAAAAATAAGAAATTTGGGGGGATTTGTTTTTGAGACAGTGTCTCTCTCTGTCACCCCTGGTAGAGTGCCATGGTGTCAACCTAGCTCACAGCAACCTCAAACTTCTGAGCTCAAGGACTACAGGTCTGCACCACCATGCCCAGCTAATTTTTTTTTTTCGATTTTTACTTGCCTGGCTAATTTTTTTTCTGTTTTTTAGTAGAGATAGGGTCTCACTCTTGCTCAAGCTGATCTTGAACCTCTGAGTTCAAGCAATCCTTCTGCCTCGGCCTCCCAGAGTGCTGGGATTACAGGCATCAGCCACCAAGATGGCCAAAGTTTTAGACAAATTTGGAAAATTTTTCAGATATTTTTTCAACTGTTTCTTCTGCTCCCACCTCCACTTCTAGGCTCCAATTACATTATTTTAGAGTGCTTGATATTGTCCCACAGATTGCTAAGGCTCTGTTCATTTTTTTTCTTCAGTCTTTTTTCCTCTCTTTGTTTCGGTTTGGAAAATTTCTATTGCTATATCTTTAAGTCCATTGCTGTGTCTTCTATAGTGTCACATCTGTTAAATCTATCCAGTTAGGTTTTATATAAGATATTAAAATATTTTCCAGCTCTAGAAGTTCAGTTTAGTTATTTTTTATAGTTTCCGTTTTCCTTATTATTAGTTTTTCCTTTTAAATGCTTGAGCATATTTATAACAGCTATAAAATCTAGTCTGTTATTTCTATCATCTCTTATTCCTGGGTCTGTTTCTATTGCCTGATTTTTCTCCTAGTTATGAGTCATATTATTTGTGCCTCTCTGTCCATCTAGTAATTTTTTCCTGAACCCTAGAAATTATAAGTGTTATGTGACCTGCAAAGCCTAAAATATTTGCTATCCTGCCTTTTACAGAAAAAGGTTGCTGAGCCCTGGCGTAGATGTACAGAATCATGTTGAGTATAATTGTCAGTATATAGAGTACACAGCATGCAGTTGTCTTTAAAATCCATACCCCCTTTTATTTTTTGTTTTATCTTATTTTCTCTTTTCCTCACTCATCCTGCATATCCAGTTCCACTCTCCTTCCCATTCTCTTGCCACTCTCATTGACATAACATGTCTTTCCAATTCACATTCCATGTGTCTGTTTGCATACATATGAATCTGTGATATATAACGTTGTTAGATGTTTTAAAAATTTAAATAAATGGTTTGTGTTGTAGATTTAATAGTTTTTAAGTTCTCTCTCAACACTATGTTTTTATGATCAATCCATGTTGCTACAAGTAGCTTCATTGTTTCAGCCTCTTGCCTAGCATTCCATCATAAGCACAGCCCACATTTACATATCCACACTCATAGTCATGGGTTTCTACATTGCCTCCAACTGCCTGCTACCACAAATAAGACCTTGCTGAGTAAACATCCTCATGTATGTCTCTTGTGCACATATGTGGGTGTTTCTCGGAGGTGTGCCCAGAATAGAAGTGATGCATACACTCAATTGCACTAAGTACTACCATTTTCCCCTCCAGAATTGGCTGTACCAGTTGGAACTCACAGCAGTCCCACACAGAAATATCTGTTTCTCCTCCTTCTTTCCAGAATTTTATATTATCTGATTGTATTAGTTTCCTATTGCTCTACAACAAATCACTACAAACTTAGTGGCTTAAAACAACACAAATGTTTACAGTTCTGGAGGTCAGAAGTTCGAAAGGGGTCTTTTTAAATTTTAATTTCAATATATTAAGGGGGATAAATGTTTTTGGTTACATGGATCATTTTTGTAATGCTGAGTCACAGCTATAAGTGTGCCTGTCACCCAGATAGTGTTCATTGTACCCGTTAGGTAACTTTTTGCCCATTCCCTCCTCCCCTCCTCACACTTGATTTCCACTGAGTTTTACTTCCGAAAGGGGTCTTACTGAGCTAAAATCAATGTGTTGGTAAGGCTGCATTCTTTTCTAGAGACTCTAGGGAGAGAGTGAATTTTTGCGCCTTTCTTGGCTTCTAGAGGTACTTGTGGTCTTTGGCTCATCATGGCTCCCTTCCATCTGCAAAGCCAGAAATGGCTGGTCAAATCTTTCTCACCTCATATCACTCTAACACTCTCTCTTCTGCCTCCCTTTTCCACATTACAAGGACCTTGTGATTACATTGGTCTACTCTCTGTCTCAAAGTCAACTGACAGGCAACTTAATTTCACCTGCAACCTTAATTTTCTTTTGCCATGTAACATAACATATATATTCACAGGTTCTGGGGATTAGGATGTAGATATATTTGAGGGGCCATTTTCCTGCCTACCACATCAACTTCATAATTTTTATCAGTCTGTAAAGCATCTCAATATAGCTGAAATGTAGAAACTCCTGTAAATTGGCAAGGAAAAGAACATGAATAGAAAATAAGTAATCGGGGTCGGGGGAGGTGGCTCACACCTGTAATCCCATCACTTTGGGAGGCCAAGGCAGGAGGATCACTTGAGGATAGGAATTTGAGACCAGTCTAGGCAACAGAGCAAGACCCTGTCTCTAAAAAAAGCAATTTTTAAAAAATTAACCAGATATAATTGTGCATGCCTATAGATAGCATAAGAGACTGTCTCATGACTTCAGAGGAAGCAAAGATTTTCTAAACAGGAAACAAAAGCACTAGTTGTAAAGGGAAAGATTGACAAATTAGACTATGTAAAAGAAGGACTTCCATTTATAAGAAAATACCATTAAGGAAATGGACAGAGATATTTGTAACCCACGTAAACAACAACAAAGGGGTTGAATCCAGGCTGTATAATGAGCTCCTGTTAGCAGATAACTCAAAAGAAAAATGGGCAAGAGACTTGAATAGACGCTTCTACAAAAAAGGGGGTTAGGTACTGAATTGTGCCCCACACCCAATTCATGTGTGAATTCTAACCCCCGGTACCTCAGAATATGTCTGTATTTGGAGATAGGGTCTTTAAAGAAGTAATTAAATTAAAATGAGGTCATTAGGGCCCTAATCCAATATGACTGATGTCCTTATAATAGGAGATTAGGGTGTAGACACACACAGTGGAAGACCATGTTGAGAAATAAAAATGAAATTCTATCCCCCCAACTCACTGAACAGAACCCCTCTTGGATAAGAGAAACCTTAAAAACTGAGTTCCTGGCCATGACAGAACAGGCGATTGGACACACCTTGTCATTCCCCCTCTCTTGCTAACTACTATTAGACTTTCTTTCCTAGGGGTTGAACAGAAACCAATCCTTTCTTTCTTTTCTTTCCTTTCCTTCCTTTCTTTCTTTCTTTCTTTCTTTCTTTCTTTCTTTCTTTCTTTCTTTCTTTCTTTCTTTCTTTCTTTCTTTCTTTTTTTTTTTTTTGAGACAGTCTTACTCTGTTGCCTGGGCTAGAGTGTTGTGATGTCAGCCTAGCTCCCAGCAACCTCAAACTCCTGGGCTCAAGCCATCCTTCTGCCTCAGCTTCCCGAGTAGCTGGGACTACAAGCATGCGCCACCATGCCCGGCTAAATTTTTGTATAGTTTTAGTTGTCCAGTTAGTTTCTTTCTATTTTTTAGTATAGATGGGCTCTTACTCTTGCTCAGGCTGGTTTCAAACTCCTGAGCTCAAGTGATCCTCCTGCCTTGACCTCCCAAAGTGCTAGGATTACAGGTGTGAGCCACCACACCCAGCCAGAAACCAATACTTTCAAACGACTTATTCCACTGCTGATTTCAGCCAACTGCCTGATGCTGCTCCTCCCTTTTTGAGTTTTGACACAACTGACCAGCATTTCTGTTTGATAAGAGACCACTGACCATGGACTGGCTCTGGCTGGTTTATAGAGGGTGCGCACATGATGCCTTTTTGTCTTCCATTGACATACAGAGCCTAATTTTAATGCATTTAAATGTTAAGTCTGCACCCCAAAGTAAACATGGGATGTATATAGCATGCATGTTTGCTTACTATGCATGTGTGTGTCCCCCTTCATGAATATTAATAGCTCCTCCTATAACCTATTAAGTATGTGTACTTAGCTGGTCAGTTCATAAATTCTTGTTTCACCCTTCCCTCCCTTGAAGCCCTTCCTTTTAGGTTTCAGCTGGGGGGGGGGTGTTCACTACTGCAGGTTGGGATACCTCCTTTTAGGAATAAATCTCTTCTTTCCAAAGTTATGAACCTTGTAATTCTTCAGTTGGTGATGTAAAGACAGGGAGAGCACAGCCTTCTACATGTTGGGAGACAGGCCTCAGAAGAAACTAACGCTGCCAACACTTGATCTCAAGATTTCTGGCCTCCAAAATTGTGAGAAAATAAATTTCTGTTGTTTAAGCCACCCAATCTGTGGTACCTTGTTATGGCAACCCTAGCACCCTAATACAGAGGGTATTCAAAAGGCCACTAAATACATGAAAAGGTGTTATACCTCATTAGTCATCAAGGAAATGCAAATTAAAACCACAATGAATTACCACTACTCACCCACCAAGATGGCTAAAATTGGAATATCTGACAATGCCCAAAGTGTTAACTATTACTATAACTGTCAACTCAGTCAATAGATATTTAGGAAACATTGTTGCTGGCACTGTACTGAAGAAAGAGGCCACAAAGATAAACAAGACCCTGCCCCTCCCCTCCTTGAACTTACGGTCCAGGTGGAAAGACAGACGGCCAAACTATTTAACAGAAATAAGTGCTAATAGCTATGATTATAAAAGTGTAAGGGGCTTGGGGGATACATAGCAATAATATCTAGCTTAATACAGGGGTAAACTCAGTGGCAATTAAGGATAAGGGGTAAACATTTCAGAGCTCTTCTGATGAGAGCTGGACTGAGGCATATGACAATTGGTACCCCCATAGAAAGATGGTTTTCAAATAACTGTTCCACATTGGTTCAAAGATGAGGCTGAATCTGTTTGGAAGAAAAGCAGAGAAGGACCACACGTTCTGACTCAGTCTCTCCCTGCTATTCACAGCAATCCGGCTTTGGTTCCATCTCAAACTCATCAAAACAGAAAGCTACAATCGAGGCTGGCTTCATGGGCGTGTGAGCTGCAAAGTTGCACAGGCCCCAAGCTTAGAAGAGCCCTGTGCTTGGTTAAATGCTCCACTATCACTTTCTAAAAATTCTTACTAATTTTTGAGTGAGGGGCTCCACCTTCTCATTTGGCACTGGACCCCTCATATTAGTTCTGCCTGCAACCACCTACACTCTTGATCCTTAGCAGTTTAGCATGCTCCTTGGGAGTCTGACCTGGCAAGGATTCCAGAGCTACTGAATCAGAATCTGCATTTTAAAATGTCCCCTGGCGATTTGAATGCACGTTCAAGTTTGAGAAGTGTTGATCGAGGACACCTCCTCCCGCATAGCTCTGGGGGTGGACGTTATAACCTCACCCTTGACGCCTTTGCTGGGCATGTGACTTGACCTGGCCAATGAGGGCATCGTATCCCCTGGCAGCAATGATTATTTAGCTCAGGCATGAGCACGTGACTCAGGTTGTGCCTAGCAACCTAAATACTGGAGTTCATATAGGGAACTACCCAGCTGAAACCACCTCTTTTACCCTAGGATTGTTACAGTAAAGGTGACCTGAGTCTGCCATTGTTGTGGCCTCTATAAGCCCGAGAATGATACCAGCATTGTAGAAGAACAAGCCAAGACATGGTGAGAAAAGTCTCGATGCTGAAGGCATTAAGGACGTAACACCCCAAATGCCCTGGTGTATCGATTATTCCAAGCTGAAAGCACTTGAGAAGCAGCAATTGCAGGAAGAACTATCTGAAGGGCCCTGTCTGACCTACTGCAAGCCATAAAAATTCTGTGAGAAAGCTGCCTTCCCCGTGCCAGCCTGAGAAGATGACCCTTATTATCGGTGACTGAGAATTGATACTGCAATTGATCTGTACAAATAAATTTACTAAAATAACCCTTATCTTCCACTAGCTCTATATCTCTTCTTATATATCTTAGTGACTCCCCTGGAACTTACTGCCCTAGCCAAGACCCCTCTGTCTTGCCATTTCTTCACAAACTTCATCATTCTTCATCTAAAAAGTTTAAATGCTCTCTGCTCTGGCATTTCTTCGGGTCTTCACTCTCTTGTGAGGATCCCCATGTACATGTAAAATTAATAAAACTTGTAAGTTTTTCTCTTGTTAATCTGTCCATACCCTCCCCACTACATATCCTCCTTCTCGATCCTCCATTTATGCCCCTCTTTGTCCCCAACCCCCCACCCCTCACCCTCCAGAAGACCTATTAGGTCTCTGAGCCCTTGGCTTAAACCCCCCTCCTCAAAATCCAGCTCCATATCCTCAGCAAAATCCCTTAATTTCTAAAACTCCTCCAACTTCCCCAGAAAATCCCTTAAACACCCAGCTGTCTGCTTTAACTTCCCTTTTCTGCAAGATTTAGAGGATGCTCTGGCCTGATCTTCAGGCCTGGGGCACGCAGGTCGTGTGTCAGTGCTGACAGCTGGAAATAAACAGCTGTCAAACAGCTGGAAATAAACAGCCGTCACAGCTCCAGGAGCACGTGGCCAGGCTCGCTTGACCCTGCGGTGGGAAGCCTCCATTTTTCGGGGATCTGTAAACAAACTTTGACAGTTCCAGACCTCTCCGTGCAATGCTTCCCGAGAACGCATCCCAGACCCTCCCCATAGAGGATTCATGCGCCCTGGACAACAGATCTTTTAAATTACAAAGCCCTTTGCCCTCACTTTCAAAAGATCCTACCAAATTTAAAGAAGCGATAACGATTAGTAGCCATTCACACCCCAGTTACAGGAACCTTGCTCTCAGCTGCTAGAGGGTGTATTTCACACCTCGATTTTACTGCAGTTATCGGACAGGCCAGAGGCCTTGGGGGAAGTCCCCCCGCCACAGGGAACAGATGGCAGAGCTTCTCCTGGGCCCTCCTGCAAATGATGAGGAAACGGCTCAGCAAGAGCTGATATTCAGGGCCTGATGGGGTGATATTACAGGCGTTCACTCTCCTAACATTGCTATTGTTCATTGTCCAGCCCACACTAAGGAGACGGATACTGTATCTCTAGGAAATGAGAGGGCAGATGCGACTGCTAAGTACACAGCCAAAAACAGACACCCTTATCCTTTCTCCATGTAATTTACAAACCGGACTTTATCCCTGACTGGCGTTATTGATCATCAGTTAATGCTCCACAATCTGAAAAAGATAAATGGAGACAAAGCTTGCCAGGCAATTATCAGATAGGTTATATATTGGGCCCTGTGGACTTCTGTTGGCTCCTTTTGTTTTGATCTTTTGGTTTGCGCTTATTTCCCATCCAGTGGGACATATGTGCAGAAGAGGGACAGTTAAGGCACTAAAAGATAATTTGTTCTGCTCTGAAATCTACAAACTTTCTGGCTAAATTATTTTCCAGGGCACTAACTTGTAAATCTCACCAAGTTTCTGGAGGAAACCAACATTTCTCAGGAAGTCCTCCAAGAACTGTATTACCCCTTGGGGCACTCCAAATAGGTTTCATGAATTTAACTCTAGTGTCAGGCTCCGCCATTTGGTTATTGTCCGTATGTTTAGTGGACACACTATGTTTAGTACTATCTGACTAGACATGCTGATGCCATGATAGTGGTGAAGAAATTACTGAGATTTTGCCTGTTTTGGCATCCCTCTGTGGATTGAGTAAGACTAAGAAACTCACTTTACAGCAGAAATAAACCACTTGCTTGCAAAAACTCTGGGGGACTCATTAAAATTTCACACCCCACATCATCCCCAATTGATAGAGTAAGTGAAATGTAAAAATCTAGACAGAAAAAGGACTTTGGGAAAAGTTTGTCAAGAAATTGGACTTAAATGGCCGGAAGCATTATCTCTGGCCTTTATAAAAATATGGAATACACCAAATACTCTGCTCCTATGGACTGACCGGGACTCACAGAGGCTAGAGCTGCACAGAGGCCAATATGACAGACGACAAGGCACGACAAACTCCAGTTTGGCAGGTTACACATTCCACTCTGAACTTATTCATGAACAATAGTGTTTTTTTTTTTTTTTTTGAGACAGAGTCTCGCTTTGTTGCACAGGCTAGAGTGAGTGCCGTGGTGTCAGCCTAGCTCACAGCAACCTCAAACTCCTGGGCTCAAGCAATCCTCCTGCCTCAGCCTCCTGAGTAGCTGGGACTACAGGCATGTGCCACCATGCCCGGCTAATTTGTTCTACATATATTAGTTGGCCAATTAATTTCTTTCTATTTATAGTAGAGACTGGGTCTCGCTCTTGCTCAGGCTGGTTTCGAACTCCTGACCTCGAGCAATCCGCCTGCCTCAGCCTCCCAGAGTGCTAGGATTATAGGTGTGAGCCTCCACGCCGAGCCAACAATAATGTTTTTATCTTGTGTGGTGACAAGGTATATAAGGGATTCCCACCTAGATGGTCAGGTCAATGTGGACTCAGATACCTAATGCCATCTGTCCCCAGGTACTCCATTTTAAATTCCAGCGAAATTATGAACTTGGGCTCCTTTGTTCCTAAAGTAGTGCCACACAAACGTACTAGATAAGATGCTATAGAAAATTCAATTGATTATCACAGTTTTAAGTTCTTTTCAGTAATGAGAACACTTTTTCTAGGCTTTGGAACTGATGAGATAGAAGGGACAATTCAAAATCTTTCTGTAGTAATTGAACAAGAGTTCAATATTACTATGCAAATATTGAGAACACTCCAATCAGAAGTTAGCCGTTTAGCCTCTATTCAAAATCGTGTGTCCTAGATACACTAACAGCCCAACGAGGAAGAGTCATGTGATCATTGATGAGGAATGCTGCTTCTATGTAAATTGCTTGGGACAAACTGAGAATAAACTGCACCTTTTAAAAGACAAGATACACACTCTTCATCAGATACATGAAGCTAAATCAATCTATTGGACCGACCTATTATTCCCAGTAATAGGAGACTGATTTCCTGGGATGTGGGGAAATGTCCTTAGATTTGTTCTTTTCAGTGTATTCATTCTCATTCTAATCTGTTTTTCCTTCCCTTTGCAGATTCCTTGCCACTCAGCTACTAACCCAACTTTTCTCTCCACAGTCATCAACTCAGCTTTTACTGTTTGGACGTTTCAAACAGGGTAAATGAAGGAGGTAAGGATATAATACTCTAAAATGCCTGGCCTGGTGTATTGATTATTTTGAGCTTTAAGCCCTTGAGAAGCAGCAGGTGCAGAAAGAGCTGTCTGGACTGCCTGCCCTTTCTTACCTATTGCAAGCCATAAAAACTCCTGCGAGAAAGCTGCCTTCCCTGTACCAGCATGAGAAAATAACCCTTATGATCCGTGGCTGAGAATTGATGCTGCAATGGATCTTTACAAATGAATTTACTAAGATAACCCTATCTTCCACTCTATACATCTCTAGTGACAGCCCTGGAACTTACTTCCCTAGCCCAGAACCCTCTGTCTTGTCATTTCTTCATAAAATTTATTGTTCTTTGTCTAAAAATATAAAAGCTTTCTGCATTGTTCATTACTTCAGGTCTTTGCTCTCTTGTGATGATCCCCACGTACATGTAAAATTAATAAAACTTGTATGCTTTTCTCCTGTTAATCTGTCTTGTGTCAATTTGGTTCCTAGTCCCAGTTAAAGATTCCGCTTAAGAACTAAAATGCTACAGGGGACGGGATCTGTAGGCTCCCCTACCATGCCATTGCCTGCGCTCCTGGATCAAGGCACACTTGAAGTTAAATCTGTCTTGGGACTTTTTAGTTTCATTTAAGTTCATTTGAGTTAGATTTTCTGTTCTTTGGTACTAAAAGAGCCCTGGTGCATAGGCCCCTCTTCTGTTCACATTTACATGAGGTGACTCTCAGAGGTAGAGAGAACTATTTTGTTGTATTAGTGTGTGCTCACCAATAGAAGAACTCTTTGCTTGAATTACCCAGTTTGATTAGCAAGTTGCAGAAGTTCACAGAATAATTACCAAACTTCCACTTTATTTTGATTTAAATGATACTAGTCCTTGATTTAAAATATTTTCTATTTGTGTTGTTTTTCTGCTGTTTTAATACATGCAATTCAATTGTAGCTATTAACAGAGGACCAGTCAATTCAGACGTGTAATAACATGCTTTCTTCTGGGGTGTAACTTCCTTCGGCAGTTCACTGAGCCAACAATCCTAAGGATGAATTTTCACATCAGGAACACATGGCTAAAAGTTTATCTTTAACCAAAGCCCATCCCTCCCTCCCATGTTTATTATTTCCTTTAATTGTAGCTTTGTACCATTATCTAAAGGAAATGATTAACCAAGTTTTTTTCTTTAATATTACATCTGAGTCTTTTTTCCTTCAGAGCATTCCAAAACATGTTTTACTTATTTTTGACTACTCTATAGGTAGCTTAATGCCCTGAATAAACAATTTTCTCCATACGTGCTTGTTGAATTCTGTTAAAATTAAATCTATTAATACATATACTCATAAGCAGGCTCTAATTCATTAGAGTTGGAAGAGACCAAGAGATTATTTAGCTGAGACCCTTTTTATTGTAGATCAATGTCTTGCTCTGGCTGTTAAGGAGATTAAACATTATAGGTGCAACTATCTATAGTTGTAGCCCACACTACTCCTTTCTTCTTCCTCCCTTCCTGCTCAGAGTTAAGTTCTGTGGTGAAGTTGGCATATATAAATTCTATGTATGTTTTTGTACTTCAATGATGTATTTTGAAAATTTACATAAATGGAGTCATATTAAATGTATGATTCTATTGATTTTTGCATTGTGCTTTTTTCACCCAATGTTATATTTTTTTAGTTTCCCACATTGATACATGTGGCTCTACCCTAGGGCATGCCCGCACTGGAGCACAAGGACCCATGAATACAGCTGTTCACTGCAGCACTGTTCATAACGGGGAAAAAGTAGATGCCACTCAACATAGGGGAATGAATTAGCTGAGGTTTATTTGTATAATGGAATGCTAATCCACAGTAAAACAAATAACTTTTGCATTTTACAGAAGAGGGGCATGGTCCAGAGAGGTTATGTGAACTGACAAATGTCACTCTGACGGATAATGGGAAATC